TTCAAGATTCATTATTATTATTTGAATTTATTTGAAGTTGAAAGTTTTCACTAATTTGCTAGATTCTAACTAACTGACACAAATTTTTAATATTTTTAGTTTAACCACATATTTGTAATTTATTATCTATATAATCAATAAGAATACATAGTGAAAAATATGTATTTGCAGTTGGGTCAATACTGTATGCAGGTTTATTATTTTTTAATAGGTATTGACGGTATTAGATAAATTTCTTACTCAAAATTATCAAAATCTTCTTCACTTTCATCACTTAATTGGTCTGCATTATTTTGTTCTAATGAAATTTGTACTTTAATATAATTTTCTTTGTTAAACTCAAATAATTTTAATTTAGGTAATTCACAATATATTTGTTCATTAACAAATATCTCAGAATTGGTATCAGATTCTTCATATTTTTTACTTTCATAGTCTATTATTTCCTTTTCTCTCTCTGAGTATTGACTTTCAGAATATATAGAGACATCTTCAAAAGTTATTTTGTTTGATATGTATATCTCTATTTCAGTATAAACTGAATTTTATATCAATTTTAATAGCAAGATTCTTATAAATGAGAAAAACTTTCAACTTCAAATAAATTCAAATAATAATAATGAATCTTGAACAATTAGCTCAACCACTTTGTATTTTATGATATAATGTAATATTTTGGTATACTCAACTGAAAAGTTAAGCAATTTTATACATTTATATATAAAATTAGAATTTTATTATAAAATACAATATGCAGATCTCTTAATTGAAAATATTACACATGAGGATCAGTGAACATGTATACTAACTATTATTATTATCTAATTTATAATATTTTATATTATAAATTTAAAGATAATTAGTAATTTATTTATTAATAATATTTATAATTTAAATAAAATATTATAATAATTATAATATTTAATTACAAAATAAAATAATTAATATAATTTAGTTATAAATAGGTTAAATATATTAAAATTCATATGATTATTGAATGATAACATATGCATAATATGTATAGTTATTTTATATTATATTAGATCTATCTGATATTTATATTAGAATTATCTTATTTTTTCTAACCTAATTATCATATCATTATTTTTGATTTATACTAATTTTAGAATAAAAGATTAATGAAAAAAAGAAGGTAATTGGGAGATTTAAAATTATTTGATAGCTCCAATTTTAACTTGTATATATAATAATAAATTTATATTATTTTAATTATATTAATTTTAATAAAAATTTTTTAAGAAATTATTTGAAATTTTTATATAATTTTCTTTATTATTTTAAAAAATTTAAAAATTTGATTATTTTTTTTATTATATTTATATATATATATAATCTACATAAAAAAAAAAAAATTAAAATAGATATATTAAAAAAAATTTTATATTTATTAATAAATCAAAATAAGTTAATTTAAGTTAAATTTTTTATTTTTATTAGATTATAATTAATCAAAAATTTTATAATTTAAAAATAAAATTATTATTAAGTTTAAAATAATCTTAACTAAAAAAATTCATACTGGTATTTATGTTATTTAAACTTTTATATAATTGCAAAAACTAATTAATATAAACTTAATTATTAAGTAGATAATAAAATATAATTAATCTATATAATATAGAATATAAATATTTAATATATTAAACATATTTAATATAGTTAATATTATTGATATATTTAACATATTTAATATATTTAATATTAATATAATTAATATATTTATATATTTAATTAATTAGTTTTATATATACATAATATATTTTTTCTATGTAATTAATTTTATATAAATATAAAATTAAAAAGTATGTAAAAAAAAATAAGTTGATATTCTATCCTTAGTAGTTACTTAGTATAAGTACAGTATATATTTTTTAGTTTACACTTAATTTATTTTAATTTCTTTACTTTTAACTTTATTATTTTATTTTTTAGTTTACATTTACTTATTAATAAAAGTACTATTAAATTAACATGATTTAAAGTCTTTATATTTTTATGATTATTAGTTTAA